AAAGGTCAAGTGCATAATAAAAATATATATTTAATGTACTATTAACATATATTTTTAGGGGTAAAAGTTATATAAATCCTATTAATTTAAACTAGGTCTGACTAGGCATTTTTTTTCTTTTTATTTGTGATTGTTAACCCGTGTGGTCTGGAAAGAACACCTATTGGGAAGCCGAAGGTCTTTAAGACCAACAGATGCTGAACCAACGTGGCAGCACCACTTTCGTCCATTCCCATTCACATTATTACGGTTAACTGAAGATTTAATCCTTGATTTAGCATCCTAAACTAATTTTATCATTTTGGTATCTCAAGATTTTTGAACTCTTTTTAGTTGTTCAACTTTATTTGGAATTTAGTTTTAATTTGATGAGTTTTTATCTTTTTAGTGCTTAGTATATATGGTGTTAGGGTTTAAACTTACTATGATTTTGTCTTTAAGATTTAAAGTTTTATTATAAAAATTTAAAATTTAAAAATTAAAAATTAAGAATAACAGGATTTAATAGTTAAAATTATTCTATTAGATCTAAAAAAAAAAAATTATAGAAACCATTTGACCTAAGAACCGATTGTTCCTCATAGCATTACCCTTCTAGGAATACCCTTCTAGAAGAGGGATTGCTTCCTTTTCGGCAAAAAATAAACTGTCTCTTTCATTGGTGGCTGCACATGGCTATCCGGGATGATAACGGTTGGTGACGCGAATTTTTTTTTTTTTTGCACTTGCGTTTGGTCTTCAACGACAGTTACGGCTTTCCCTCGTTTGAAGTGATCGTTGTATGCATCTACCTAACATCACATAGTTGAAGACTTTAGTATTTCTATTCGTTTTTGGCAGAAGGTGTAATTGAGCCATTTTACTTTAAGTGTTCTGGTAGATCAGTACCTCTGCTAAGAAATAGTGCAAATTGACCCCTCTAGTAATTGAGACCTGCAAATCGACCCTTTTGTCAAGGATGATAGTAGAACACGTTGTCTTTCCGTCTTCCGCTTTAAAATTTCATTAAAGGCTGCTTACTTGGCGTTGACATGGACAATGAAAAAAGCCGCCTAGATATTTTTCCCCTTCCATTGCATATTTAAAAAAAAAAAATTGAAAACACAAAATTATCCTTCACCTTCTTCTCATCCTTTGTCCTCTCTCTCTCTTAATCCCCCTTACCCTTACCATACTTACAGGCTAGTGAAATGATCCAAGCATGGAAAGCAACCTCAATTTGAATAACATGTGCATGTAGGGTTGTTAATAAATAGAGTAGTTTATGAATAATTTGTGTGTTACTCAATTTGACTTCAACTTATTTGGTAAACAAATCAAACTTAAGTTTAATGTCGAGCTTGATAAAAAAAACAAAACGAAGCTTAAGCTTGAACTTGAGTTTGAACTTCCATAATTACTTAAGCTTGGTTTGAGTTTGAACTTCCATAATTGCTCGTGAGCTACTCACGAATACTCGATTTAAAATTAAAAAGGTTAAATTCTTAATTTGGTCCCTAAACTATTATACGAACTCTTGATTTGGTCATTGTATTAAAAAAATCTCTGATTTGATCCCTAAACTATTATATGGATTCCTGATTTGGTCCTTACTGTTTACCAATTTACCCTAAATTGGTCTTTCCATACAAAAACTAACTGGTGTGTCTTGTTATTAACGTAACACGTGACCATTAAGTTACTATTTTATGTCATTAAGTTACTATTTTTTGTCGTTAAATAACAGACACATTAGTTTTTTTTTGTATGGAAGAACCAACTTCGGGCAAATTGATAATTAGCACAGACCAAATTGGGAGTTCGTACAATAATTCCGAGACCAAATCAAGGATTTTTTTAGTTCAGGGACCAAATCAAGGGTTTAACCAATTAAAAATTATATTATATATTTATTTATTAAATTTAAATATATAATAACTTGTAAATTTAATAAGACTGAAAAATTAACTTGAAAAACTTGCATATTTTTAGTTATAATTATTAATAAAAATGTTTAAATAGAATTTATGGTTGTTTTCTATTGTTGGATTTAGTATATTTAAACTTCTAGTACTACAATATTTTTTAAAAATGTAGAAAATTTTATAATTAAATAATTATTAGTCAGTGAAATGTTTTGGAATCACAAGAAAAAAACTCAAGTTCAACTTAAAATACTTATTTGCTTGAGCTTCTAAGCAAGTTCAAACTCGCTCGAATACTTGTGAACTTAAGTACAAACTCAATTATTTGGAACTCGATAAACATTAAAGCTGAATTCGAACTCAAATTTTTAAGATGAGTTCGAGCACAAGTACCTAATAACTCGACTCGTTAACAACCCTACGTGCATTGATATTGTGACACAAGCAAAAAAGTTAGTAAGTACTACATTATAAAACTTAATGAAATGATTTCAAATGAAAACAAGAGTAATAACAAAGGAAGTTAATTCCTTTTTGTATCGGCCGGTATGGCGGTACGTACCGGATTTTTCATTGTACTTAAATGGTATAAAACTTAATTTCGTTTCGGTCAAATTTCGCTCATTTTGGTCAAATCTCGGTATTCTGGCCGGTATTTTGGTGTACCAGCAGTGTTGACAACCACTTAAGATTTTTTTGGAGAAGAAAGATCTTCCCTTTCTGGTGGCTGCCGAACCCCTCTACTTACTGGTGATAAAGGTGGAGGCAGTGATGATGATGAGACGCAAGAAGATGTCAAGGTCGGAGTCCCAAGGGGGCTTGCGGCTAGATCTACATTGTCTTCTTGGTGATTGGTGAGATGAGAGTGACGATTAGCTAGCAAGAGGATGCTGAAGGAACAGGGGTGATAGTGGCGGTCGCAGATCTACAAAAAGGAGAAAAATCAAGTGGCTTTTTGTTTTTTTTTTTTGGTCTGCTGTCTCTTTCACCCTTTAAAAGAGGGAAAACTAGGGTTTCTTTTATTGTTAAATTTGGGTTTTGATGGGCTGGGCTATGAAATTGGGTTGGGACTTGAATTAAATTGTTGGTGGGCCCAATATTGGGGTGGATTTGTCGATTTGTTTTGGTAGATTTCATCCTCAACTTTTTAATTTTTTTGATTGAGTCCTTTTCTTGTTATTTTTCTTGAATTTCTTCACAAAAATTTTTTATAACGATAAATCCGACACAGTATACGAAAAATTTCGATATCCTGTACGTACCATTCCAATAACAAAACGATATGTATGTCGATACGGTATTGACAACTTTGGTGGTAACCTAAACAAAATTTGAACAAATATAAAACCAAATAACCAGCATGATTTTAGTCCTTCCTTCTCCTTCTCCTAATCTCTCCCTTATTTCGTCACTTCTATTTCTCCCAATAGCTTAAGATAGCTTCCAATCAAGCTAAATGGGTGAAGATGAAATGACGATATTAACGTTGGCGCAAATTCTCGTACTGGTATTTTTGGTTCACCATTTTCTTCTTTTTTTTTGGGTTAATGGTTTATCATTTCCCTGGAAAAAATATGCCAAATAGTGTTTTTAAGTCCAAGTCAGCACCAAGTCATATTTTTTTAATGGAGTAACAGATATTGTTTTCAAAACTGAACTGAAAATCAAACAATTTTGACCTATAATTCTTAATTTTTATGGTTCAACTGATTAGACCAGTCAAAATATCAATTTGACCGCTATTCAGACCATTTAACTAAAATATATATACATATATTTATGTAAGTTATGTTGTTAGATTCTGTGTTGGTCTAAGAGTTGTGTTTGACCTTTCAAATGATTTGTTTTCGAATCCTAATGGTCTAAGTTTTATTTATTTATATAATTTACGTTAAAATTTATATTATAATAAATATATTGACTTGTAGCAAATGACAATTATGACACTTAAAGTCCTGTGGTGGCGACAACATCAAGGTGGCACTTGGACGTGATATCAATGTTTCAAGTCTTAGCTTGTTGCGTTTAACATCTTGTAAATAATTTGATAATAAAATTAATTTATGTATATCATATCATTTACGGAGCAACAACTGATATCTCGCCCAAAATTAATATCCTTCGATTAAGCGATGTTGTAACCTAATGATGGGAATCAAGACGACAGCATATTTACCACGTCATGTGATCCATTACACACCCAAGGAGATCCAGTCACGCGAGCTAGAGTTAAGAAGATGCGTGAAGCTTTAAATGGCCTTATTGAGCAAATCTGGGTTGAAAACAACATACAACAAGCAAATCGAAGCTTGGATGATTATCAAGGCATGGTAAACATCATTCAGGTTCAAGAGAAGCTTAATTGAGGTCATTTATGCTAAATTACACAGTTTGCGTCAATCTCGCAATTCTGTTGCAATTTGTAACAAACTGATATTTCATGTTATTTTAGGCTACTTTTAGTGATTTTCACGTTTTTTATATTATTTTGGGCTAAACATTCATTTATTTAAGGCCCAATTCATGGTTATTATGATTAGGGTTTAGGGTGTTAGTTTCCTATTCTGATTATAATTACTTTTCCCTATTTAAAAGGGCTTGTAACCCTAATTGAGGGAGGCTATTGAATCTGAGATTTTGAGAGACTTTTCTCTTTGGTTCGTTTCAGAACTTTACAGAACTTATCAAGATTATTTTTGTGGCATTCTAACCTGACTTATCATTCTCGTTCTTAATTGTTCGAGGGTGTGGCGCCAACCAACTTTATACCTCTGGTTCTTGTTGCATCATAGACAACGGGTCAAGGTTTTTTTACCTTTGGTTCTTGTTACGACATAAACAACGGGTCAAGGTCCTATTATAAACCTGATTTAGTTTTCCTGGAGTTTAGAAATCCCTTGTTGTGCTGTGGGTCTCATTGTTCTCTTTGGGGTTCTCATCATCTTGGTATCAGAGCATCAGATC